GATGTGAAGAGTCTTAATTCCGCCATTGTTGCAACTGAGAGACTAATGGACTACAGAACAGCAGTCACTTCCAGTGGGAAGAAGGAACAAGGTGGAAAGAGACATTTGGACAACAAGCCAGTCGACAATGGGAAGGAGACTAAGGTTGTTCTAGATGGCGCCATGGGTGAAGCGCACAAGGACAAGAAGAAGTTCTCGGGTTGCTGTCTTTGCCAAAGACCCTATTGTGTGAAGGACTGTCCAAGGAGGCAGAACTTGAATGCAATTTGGACAAAGAGAGATGGAGGTGCTGAAGAGGGTAATAGTCTCCAAGTGAGTCCAATGGTTTTATTGAATTCATTAAGAGTTATCCCACCGGGAGAGAATGTGATTGAGCAACTGGTGTTGGAGGTGATTGAGGTGTTCGTGGATGTGTTTGCCATAGAACCTAGGGGTGGGCATCAATCCGGCCGATCCGGTTACACCAGCCGAACCGATTATATTGGTTTGGTTTGGTTTGGGTTTGACCAAAGAAAAAGTCAATAGTTTCAAAAACCGATCTGAACTGATTTGGTTTGGTTCGGCTGCGGTTTGAGCATTTTGTAAACTGTCCTAAATCGAACCGGATTGATTAAAAATAAATTTATTATTTGTTAAATATATTTTACATGTGGCAATGCTTGAGTGGTTATTTGTAATTGTTATCATGCACCATACCGCACATGATTGGACCCCAAAAGCCAAAACTAAAACTCACGGATCTGTTTCTCTCTACCTCTCCCTCACATTTCTCTAAGCCTCTCCTTCGTTTCCTAACCCTAGCCGCACACAACACAACACTCACTACTCTCATCTCATCGCATCATTCATCTCCATCTTCATCACCTTTGGCAGACAATGTCATCACCTTTGGCCTCTTCGTCGTCTCCCCAGTGTAACCTCTCTCTCTCTCTCTCTCTCTCTCTGTATACTTGATGGTTTTATAAATATGGGTCTTCATTTTGTCTTTTTTCTAGTGGGTTCTGCGATGGTGATGATGATGTGTGGGTCTTCATTTCGTCTTTTCTCTCTCTCTACAATGTCATCACCTTTGGCCTCTTCATCGTCTCCCCAGTGTAACCTCTCTCTCTCTCTCTGTGTATACTTGATGGTTTTATAAATATGTCTTCATTTCATCTTCATGGGCCATGTCTCACAATAGAATATGTTTGATTGTTCAGAATGGGAATAAAATATATAAATCATTCTTAAAATATATGTTTGATTGTTCGATGTGGTTTGCAAATTGTATGATGTGTGGGATTTGCTGGAAGTTAAAAGAAAAGATGGGTATTTGATTAATATATATATATATATATATTCTATAGGTGTTGCTTATAATAATTCATCAATTTTCCATCAGCTTTCTATACGGTGCAAAATATTATTCTTAATTATGGTATTTGATTAATATATATTTGATGAAAAGAAAATATGTGATTGTGTTTTTTATATACGTGTTGCTTCTAATAATTCATCAGCTATGGATGAATCTGCAGAAGAGGTTCAAGGCTCTCAAGCTCATGCAGGTACTTCCATTTAAAAAAACATGTCTTTCATTAGTCTTTTAAATATTATATTAGCATATATGTAAGTAGGCTCTCAAACTCAGACTGGTGGTGATAATGATCTTCCACCTTTACCTCCCTTGAAAAAGAGAAAACCAACTAGGAAGCCAAGTGAAGTGTAGAATCACTTCGAAAAATTTGAAACTGGTAATCCTTCTGAACCAATTAGAGTTAGATGCAAGTATTGTAAAACTGCTGATTACAAGTATGATCCAGAAAATTGTGGGACATCAAGTTTGAGGACTCATATAAATTTTTTATGTCAGAAATATCCATATAGAGTGCCTGGTTCAAAACAGAAGGTTCTAACTTTTGAAAAGGACCATTCTGGAGGGTTTACTACTATTGGGGCAGTAGGATTTAGTAAGGAAGAATGCAGAAAAACATGTCTTAGGATGGTTGTAATTGATGAGTTACCATTTAGTTTTGTAGAAGGAGAAGGTTTTCGTCAATTTTGTAGTGTTGCATGCCCTAGATTTATACCATCTCGTAGAACACTTGCCAGAGACTTGCTTACACTTTATTATGATGAGAAGCAACTTTTGAAAGCAAAGCTAAAGGCATATAGGGTATGCCTTACTACTGACACATGGACTTCTGTTCAAAATATAAACTACATGGTACTCACTGCACATTTCCTAGATAGTGATTGGATGTTGCATAAGCGAGTTTTGAATTTCTGTGTAATTCAAAATCATAAAGGTAGGACAATTACCTTAGATAATGCTTTTGCAAATGATAAAGCTGTATCTTATTTGCAAAATAAGATGAAGGATTGGCCAAATGGTGGGTTGTTGTTAGATGGTGTACACTTGCATATGAGATTTTGTGCGCATATTGTTAATTTGATTGTTACTGATGGGTTAAAGGAGTTACATTATTTTGTTAAGAATATTCGTGATGCTGTCATGTATGTTAGATCCTCCCCACAAAGGTTGGAAATGTTTAAATGTTGCATTGAAAAAGAGGGATACGTGGGTTCTGCGATGATGATGATGATGTGTGGGTGCAATTAGGTGGGGTAGGTGGGGTTTGCAGGAAGTTAAAAGAGAATATGGGTATTTGATTGATATATTATATATTCTATTTTAATTCTTTTAGAAGACAACTATTTTTAACGGATTATTCCTTTTTTTTTCTTAATGTCTTTACATTTTGATGTTTTGATATTTTAATGAAAAATCTGTGATTGTGTTTTTTATATAGGTGTTGCTTCTAATAATTCATTAGCTATGGATGAATCTGCAGAAGAGGTTCAAGGCTCTCAAGCTCAGGCAGGTACTTCCATTTAAAAAACCATGTCTTTCATTAGTCTTTTAAATATTATATTAGCATATCTGTAAGTAAAGTAAGATGTTTTCTATGGCAGCAGGGATTGAAAGCTCTCAATCTCAGACTGGTGGTGATAATGATCTTCCACCTTTACCTCCCTTGAAAAAGAGAAAACCAACTAGGAAGCCAAGTGAAGTGTGGAATCACTTCGAAAAATTTGACACTGGTAATTCTTCTGAACCAATTAGAGTTAGATGCAAATATTGTAAAACTGCTGATTACAAGTATGATCCGGCAAATATTGTAAAAATGTGAACCAATTCTTATTGGTAGCTGTGGTACTTGATCCTAGGTATAAGTTAGACAATTTATCTATGCATATTGCTGAATTGTATGTGGAAGATGATTATTATGTTGTCATGAAGACAGCCGGTGTCAAAGCACTTTTGTTCAAGCTTTATGGGTTGTATGAGGCATGTTTTGTTAGTAATCCAACTCAAAGTGGTAGTAGTTGTGTTTGTGCCTAATAAATCACGGCCGTGAGCTGGCCGAAGGAGCCCCCTTTCTCGGCCCTGGCACTTGCTCATAAAACTGACACTCACTACTCTCATCTCATCTCATCATTCCTCTCCATCTTCATCACCTTTGGCAGACAATGTCATCACCTTTGGCCTCTTCATCATCTCCCCAGTGTAACCCCTCTCTCTCTCTCTCTCTCTCTCTCTCTCTGTATACCTGATGGTTTTATAAATATGGGTCTTTATTTCGTCTTTTTTCTAGTGGGTTCTACAATGGTGATGATGATGATGTGTGGGTCTTCATTTCGTCTTTTCTCTCTCTTTGTAAATTAATGGGTCTTCAATTAGATTGGGAGAGGGATACGTGGGTTCTGCGATGATGATGATGATGTGTGGGTGCAATTAGGTGGGGTAGGTGGGGTTTGCAGGAAGTTAAAAGAGAATATGGGTATTTGATTGATATATTATATATTCTATTTTAATTCTTTTAGAAGACAACTATTTTTAACGGATTATTCCTTTTTTTTTCTTAATGTCTTTACATTTTGATGTTTTGATATTTTAATGAAAAATCTGTGATTGTGTTTTTTATATAGGTGTTGCTTCTAATAATTCATTAGCTATGGATGAATCTGCAGAAGAGGTTCAAGGCTCTCAAGCTCAGGCAGGTACTTCCATTTAAAAAACCATGTCTTTCATTAGTCTTTTAAATATTATATTAGCATATCTGTAAGTAAAGTAAGATGTTTTCTATGGCAGCAGGGATTGAAAGCTCTCAATCTCAGACTGGTGGTGATAATGATCTTCCACCTTTACCTCCCTTGAAAAAGAGAAAACCAACTAGGAAGCCAAGTGAAGTGTGGAATCACTTCGAAAAATTTGACACTGGTAATTCTTCTGAACCAATTAGAGTTAGATGCAAATATTGTAAAACTGCTGATTACAAGTATGATCCGGCAAATATTGTAAAAATGTGAACCAATTCTTATTGGTAGCTGTGGTACTTGATCCTAGGTATAAGTTAGACAATTTATCTATGCATATTGCTGAATTGTATGTGGAAGATGATTATTATGTTGTCACGAAGACAGCTGATGTCAAAGCACTTTTGTTCAAGCTTTATGGGTTGTATGAGGCATGTTTTGTTAGTAATCCGACTCAAAGTGGTAGTAGTTGTAGTACACCTTCAATGGTTAGTAATCAAACTCAAAGTGGTAGTTCTCAGTCCTCAAATTTTGGAGGTGATAAGAAAAAGGCTATGAAAGAAAAGTGGAAAAAGAGGCAAGAAGATAAAGAGGCAGTAGTTCTATCTCATGAGATAGATAGATATTTGTCAGATGCTGCAGAATAGGATGTTGAAGAGTTTGATATTTTAAATTGGTGGAGGGTGAATGGTTCTAAATATCCAGTGTTGGCAGCCATTGCAAGGGATGTGCTTGCAATTCCAGTCTCTACAGTTGCCTCAGAATCTACTTTTAGCACGGGAGGGAGAACAATTAACTCGTTTCGTAGTTCGTTGAGTCCTGCTACGGTTGAGGCTTTGATTTGTACACAGAATTGGTTAAAGTCCACTTCAATATCTTTAGAAGTTGAGCCTACCATTGAAGAGATGGAGTTCTATGAAACAATTGAATCAGGTAATAACATCTCTTTTAATTGTTTATAACTTGTGTGTTTATTATGTTGAAACTAAATTTGTGATTGTGTTTCTTATGTAGAAATGAAGAAATCAAATGCTATGGGGCCTTTACATGTTTCTTGTGATTGAGAAAGGAAATGAAGCGTATTGTTTTTTTGTTTTTTGTTTTTTGAAAATTCTAGTTTGATTTGTATTAATTAGTTGGATATTGAAGTTTATTTCTATTTGTACGCAAATGTGGGATTATATGCATGTTGAACTTTGTTTTACTGGAAATTTGCTTAACTTTCCATGTTTGATGTATTGGATTTTTGGATTATTTGATGATAATTTTGTTATTTGTAGCTAGATCAGTTTCTGTTTTAGGATGTTTGTTAACAGGTTCTTTGTTATTGTAAGATGTTTTGTTTTATGTCTAAACCGGCCGAACCAAACCGCACCAAACCGATTATGAATGGTTTGGTTTGGTTTGGTTTTCATTTTGATTGTAACTAAAACCGAGCCGAACCAAACCGTCATATTGTAATTGGTTCGGCCGTGGTTTTGAGGGAAAACCGATCCAATCCGGACCGTGCCCACTCCTAGGGAGGACTAGACTAGACTGGACTATACTAGCAAAATGCCTACATTTCATATGCATTCAAAGCATAATATGGACATTATTGTCTAACTTAGAGGAAGAATGTGGACTATCTATAAGAGGTTGATGACTAAAACTTATCCCCTATAATCTCCTTGAAAATGGGGGATTTGAATTATGGGCTAGAAGAGATGCAGTTTGTGGCGTTGGCGCATTGTCTTGATACTTGGAGGATCTACCTGTTGGATAGGAAGTTTGTGGCGAGGACTTGTGTGCTGCATAATCACACGTATTGTACAGGTACCATTCGAGATGAATTTAGCATTTACTTTGATGTGCTAGATGAGTTCAATTTCGAATTGGCCTATATGACCACAAGGCACATAGACTTCGAGGAGAGGTTTGATGAGTTGATGGCAAATGCAACTCAATCTATTTCTTCTACTTCAGACCCTTCGTAAAGTAAGTCAGAAGATAAGCTATGAGTGAGCTCATCAATTGATAGCATTATGAGGGATGCTATGTTTGGAAAAAGGGATGAAAACCCCGAGGCTAAGGAGAAGCCAATAAGGGAAGATGAGCCTATGGTGGAGACTATGGCCGGTATATGTGAGAATCCGTATTCTTAAAAGTATTTTAAAAGAGGATTAAACATTTATATATATACTGGTTATATTTATGTGTGTAATTATCTTGGTACGTATATGTAAATATTGTTGTTATACTTTTATATTAATTATTATGAAAACTATTATAATAATACTTATATATTTCTATGTTGATGATAATATTTAGTTTCTTTGATTATTAAACAAATATATAAAGAAGTTTGTTATTCATGTGTCGTCCACTCCATGCATGTTAAATGGCTAAGCTCAAAAGTAAAGTAATCCTATTGCATTTGCAACACCTCATGCTATTACATTTTATACCTGGCAGTCTTACATTCATTACATGCATTACCACCTTGAGTTCATCTTTTTACCTTGCAGAGCATGAGACACCTTATGCTATAATTTTGGGTTGCTGGCAGCCTTATCTTGTTAATATCATGCCAAATCTACAACATGCTATTTTGTTAGCCGCCATAGGTTAGTAGCAACCGACTTTCCCTTAATATAAATAGGGCATTCTACAATTGAAATGAGAGTAAGAAATTGATCAATGCATAATTCTGTATCATTTTGTAACACTCTACCCTATTGTTTGGTTATGTTTTTAGGTAAAACTTGTGCTTTTAATCCATTTTGTGTTTGTTAATCAGTTCATTGAGCTCTAGGTACCACTTGAGGCATTTGAAGCAAAATGGTGCAAAAACGTGCAAAAACTGGAGACTGAGTTAGAAATTCATTTCGGACTTATCTTCTTTATCCGAGCTTGGATTGGGCCAATGCTTGTGTGGTTGGATCAGAGACATTCTAAACTTCAAATTGGACATCTTAAAGTCATCTTTTGATTCAACCAAGCCCAATTCGTGAGCCCATGAAAATACACATCATGCTGACATGAGAATGAGCTGATGGATGCTTGGTCATGGTGAGCTAGTCATGAGCTATTGGTTTCTGGATGGAAGCTTGGTCATGCTGACATGAAGATGTGCTATGGCTGCTGGTGGGATTTATTGGTGAAGTACAGCAACCAATTCTGATTTTCTAAATACAAGTGTTGTATGCATTAGCCATATTGAATTCAGATTTATCACTCCCCTCTCCCTATAAATACCACTTCCATTCCACATTCAAAACACACACATTCACTTCATCCATTACTCCTGATCGGTGCATAAATTACATATCATTTTGTACCCTTTTAACTTATGATTTGGTTATGTTTTTGAGTTAAACTTGTGCTTTTAATCCTTTTTGTGTTTATCTTTCAGTTCATTGAGCTTTAGGTAATAATGATGGCTTTAGAGAGCATAATTCATGCAATTCAAGCATGTTAAGGCCTAATTTGGATGAATGGATGAAGAG